AACAGGATCATGTTGCTAACAGGATCACACTACTAACATTACCATGCGGATAACAGGATCACATTGCTAAATGGACCACACTGCTAACATTACCATGCTGATAACAGAATCGTGTTGCTAACAGGACCATGCTGCTAACAGAACCATGATGTTAACAGTACCATGCTGCTAACAGGTTCATGTTGCTAACAGGACCATGCTGCTAACAGAACCATGATGTTAACAGTACCATGCTGCTAACAGGACCATGCTGCAAACAAGACCATGCTGCTAACAGAACGACTTTACTAACAGGACCACTCTGCTAACAGGACCACACTGCAAACAAGACCACGTTGCTAACAGGACCACATTGCTAACAAAACTACGCTGTTAACAGTGTAGTGAACTAAGCCTCAGGTCAAATCTGGCCTTGAGGGCCTTCCTGGGACAAGAACTGTATTTCATTGATTTGAGTCCAGAAACACAAGATTAAGTTCATCCAGAGACTTCCTAAGTGTCCTGCACTGATCAATTGAAAGAACACTCTCTCTTTTATTATCATTGCTATTTTCTTGATAATCAAAGTGTGTTAGTTCAAACCATTTTAAATGTTGAAGTGAACTACTCATTTTAAATCAACTGTGAAACAGTTAATGATTTTTTTTTTAATCCTCATTCAAAGTAGAAATCAAGTTAGAATGTGTTACAGAGTAATGATTCAATTTCTTGATCTTCTGTCTGAAATGAGCAAGTTGTGTAAGTTGGTCAAAGGTCAAGTTTCGGTCAACTGCAAGTTTACTGGAAAAGAAATGTCATGTTTAACTTTTACAGAAAGATATTAGAGAATTGACTCCACGAAGTCTGGGTTCTTCATAACATCTTCTGTCTGTTCTTAAACAATCTAATCTTTTTCCCTTGACTTTTAATAACCTCTTACATCACTAAAACACACCCTTGTTTGGTCAATCGACCAATCAGGAAGTTCTCAAATGAACCAGAAGTGACCTCTTTAAAAGGTTTAACACTTCCTAGTTCAGGGAGAAGAACGCTGAGAGAATGCTGTGAGTTAGTTCCGAGAGCAGCAGAGTTCAGAATGCTGGAATGCAGAATGTTGGAGAACAACTGCAACTAAGCTGGACGAGAGAAGTTCAGAGGAACTATGAAGAAGTCTGTTCTGGGATGATTTCACGACTCCTGAGGTTTAGCGGTTCTTACGGAGACGCTGGAAGAGTTGAAAGGAAAACTCTACACCAACGCCGAAACTATCATCTGCAAAGGTAAAGAGTCGATCTCAACCAAAGTGTACCGTGGGTTAAGCTGCATCCAAAAGGAGCGTGTTGTCGTTC